AAATAAATAAATAAATAAATAAATAAATAAATAAAAGAATTCCCCAGGGGTGGATGGTCATGCCGCAATCCATTCTCTTCTTGGGATCTTGGGCACGCACGCACACGTGCAGATGAGTTTAAGCCACTGGATCCAGAACATGAACCGTGGTTGGCTACATGGGATTCCGGTGACATGGTCGTTATGCCATCTGCTGGTCTCTAAAACATTGTTTTAAAAATGGAGTAATTATGACAGAAAAACTTTTTATATTCATTACATTTTTTAAGAATTATTTCATTTTATTTATTCATTCATTTTAATTTGACTAGAGATAGATAGAGAGAGAGAGAGAGATGGAAAGTGAGAAAGCAAGCCACCAGGTCTAGGACTCAAACCACAGTGGGCCATGAGGGCATGTCCAGCACCTTAACCACATCACCCACTGGCCCCCATATTCATTACATTTATGTGATTTCTGTCCAGTACAAGTTACTCAATGTCTGGAGAGCTGTGAAAGTCTACCAAAAAATTTGCTATACTTATAAGCTCTGGAAGGTTTCTCACTGGTACATATTACCTGATGCCTTGTGAAGACTGAAAGCACACTAACAAATCTGGCACACCCACACACACGTGAGGGCTCACACTAGCATGTATCCTCCAGTGAAGACTGTCAGGCTTTGGCCTGCAGCCTTGCCACGTCCACTACACTGGCAACATTTCTCTCCACTCCAGATTCACTGATGGTAACAACCACAAAATGAAAACTAAACATTTGTTCTACATTTTTCTCTCCAGAATGAATTCTCTAACATCTTTCAAGGTGTGATCAGTGCAGATGTGGTCACATTAGTTACCTTTACGAGGTTTCGCTCTAGCATGAGTTCTCTCATGTCGTTCAAGATGTGATCGGGAACGAAAAGCTTTGCTGCACTCAGAACATCCATAAGGTCTCTCCCCAGTGTGAGACTTCCAATGACTAGTTAGGGCAGAGCTTTCAGTGAAGGCTTTACCACATCTGCTACAGCTGTAAGGCCTCTCTCCAGTATGCATTCTCTGATGTTTAATAAGAGCTGAACGCGAAATAAATGCTTTGTCACACTCACTACACTCAAAAGGCTTCTCTCCAGTATGAATTTTCTGATGTAGTTTAAGTGCAGTGCTGCTCCCAAATGACTTGCCACATTCATCACATTTGTAAGGCTTCTCTCCAGTGTGAACTCTCCGGTGAGTTGCAAGGCCAGAAGATTGATGAAAGCCTTTCCCACATTCCTTACACTTGAACAGTTTCTCTCCAGTGTGGATTCTCTGATGGATAATAAGGCTTCTACGGACAGAAAAGGCTCTGTCACATTCACTACACTTGTGAGGTCTCTCTCCACTAAGAATTCTGTGATGCTGTGCAAGTATTGACCTGGTGCTAAAGACCTTGCCACATTCACTACATTCGTAAGGCTTCTCTCCAGTATCAATACTCTGATGTTCATCAAGTGCTGATTTTTGTCTAAAATCTTTACTACATTCACTGCATTTGTAAAGTTTCTCTCCAGTATGAATTCTATGATGACTTACAAGGTTCAAATTCTGAGTATACAACTTGCCACACACATCACATTTATCTTGTTTTCCTCTGCTCTGGATCCTTTCATGTATAATGAGCTCTGAGCCACTTTTAAAGGCTTTGTCACACATTTTACACTGGGCATGTTTCTCACTAGTGTGAATTCTATGATGATGCGCAAGGTTTGATTCTTGATTGAAGTCCCTTCCACAAACGTCACATTCATACAGTTCCTCTCTTGTACGAATTTTCTGACTTAGAGCACGGTGTGAGTGTTCACTAAAAGCTTTGCCAGACCGATTACCCTGGAAAGATTTCTTTGTCCTGTCTGCTCTCTGTTCTTGGGTGAGTAATGAACAGTCTATAAAATTACGCCCATCTTCACGATCAGTGACGGCTTTGACACTGGGAACAATTGTCTGGAGTGGTGAAACTACAGGACTTTGCTCAACAGAGTTCTCAACTCCCTTCTGTTCATACGGTCCCCTACTACCTTTAAGTTCCTGCACCGCTGGTGGATGTGACTGCAAGCTGAAGTCAAGGTCACTAGGAACAGGCCTGTTTCTTACACCCCTTCTTTGGGGACCAATAGCTCTCCCAGTCTGCTCTTCCTCCTTACGGGTCATAGGTTCTATTTGGTACAGGTTTTCTTCTTCTCTCCACTCACAGGCAGGGGGATGTGCATTTCTCTGGACTTGCTTGAAGGGAAACCCTTCAGTACCATGGTTTTCATGTGCCTTCATCATCACTGTTGGCAATACTTCTCCTGAAGCACCACTGTGTTTGGCTGGTAATTCCATCATAGGTTTTTGAGAGTTATCTGCAAGGTGTAAAGAAACACAGGCTTCTGATTAGTTATTGATAATAGCTTAATTTCCCATATTAAAACATTTAACAACAAAATGAATACTTAGTTAAAAGAACAGTGAAAGTTCTCAACTGTCATGATCTTTTTTTTTTTTTTTTTTTTGCTTCTGGTACAGGGTGTGAGCAATCCCAGAGAGAAGAGAGAGAAAGTGGAAAAATCCTCTCTTCTCCTGAATTTGTACACACACACAACATGATTCTAAAGCTGTCAGGTTTGGTACTCAAAGTACAAAGCCAGCCATGTGCAATCCACTGCTTCAACCTTGACACCATCTGCTGGCCTGTGTTGTTTCATTTTATGGAAAACAAAGAGAATTCTTGAATAAAGAGAAATGTTGATTAACAGTAAGTCAAATCAATTGCAGGGAACTGATATTAAATGTATTTTTAAAAATAATTATTTTATTTTCCTTTATTTATTTATTTTAATTCGACCAGAGAGAAACAGAGTCAGAGAGAGACAGAAGGTGAGAAAGCAAGCCAGCAGGTCTGGGATTCAAACCATAGTTGGCTCTGTGGGAGTTCAGCGTTCTTAACCACCACACCACCTCACGGCCCCTATATTAAACATATTGGCAGCATACCAACTGGGCACAAATTAATGCAAAAGCATAGCACAATATAATGGTGAGTAATGCAAAGCAACCTTAAGTAATTAAGTAATTCTTTATGAGGACAAGCAAATGTTATAAGGGTTACATCACTGGAGTTTCATGTAGTCAACCACGTTCGAGTCCTGGATCTGGTAGCTTGCAAATAACATAGAAGCATGAGTGTGTGCCCAAGAACCTAAGAGAAGGGAATGCAGTGTGACCATCCCCCCAGGAAGGTATTTTCTTGCTTTCTCTCTCTCCTGCAAGTATGTGCGCCCTATTGCAAAAGTCTCTCTCTCTCTTTTTTTTTTTTTTACTTTTATCTACATTTATTTTATGCTGACTTTATTCCCATGCCATAAGTTCTTGTTTCTTCAGTTTCTTTTGGGATATCTTTTTCTTCTGTGCAACTTCCTCTTCCGGTTTAGGGGGACAATTAGCTCCTTTTCAGTGAGGATCATATAGATGTGGCAGGGGGAGCTCATGTATTGATTAATCCGTCCATGAGCTCTGCACATACAATAGCTCATCTTTGGTGCCTTGTTCACCTGAATATGCTCAATGACCAGAGAATCCACATCTAACCCCTTAAGTTCATCATTACTCTCTGCATTTTTAAGCATGTGCAGCAAAAATTTAGCACTCTTTTTAGGCCACCTTGTGTCTAGCCCCACTGTTTAGCCTGGGCACATTTACCAACTCCACCATAGTAATGATAGAATGGCACACTCTGCTTCTGTAAAGTGACATCCTTCAGATATGTGGTGGCTTTTCAGATATGCATACCCTTGATGGCCTGGGCAGTTTCATAAGTGCTCTTAAAGTGAACAAAAAGATTTGAACCTCTTGACTTGCATGACTTTGTGGGGTTCTCTGGGTCAAGTGAAGAGCGAACCATTTTCAAAGTTCACCTCAGGCCGCTAAGAAGAGGAAGAGCAGTGGCTCCCTCAGAAATCCTTGAAAAATTTCATAACTTCAATTTGATTGGTTCATCTTGGGACACATGCCTACACACACACCAAGCACTATGGTAATATAATGTACTGGTCCTCTTAGCCTAGGTCACTTTTTTTTACCTGGACACCATCTTGTTAGTCAACTTATTTGGGACAATATTGGTCCCCAAATGGAACTAGGACCAGTATGAACAAGGTTCTAGATGCCACAAGGTAACCTGGTGCCTGAGTCCTAGTGAAAGCACCTCCTTACTCTGGCCATTGGGAATGTAGGCATTTCCTGTATTTATCCATCTCTGGGTTGCCTCACTGCCTCTTGATTGCTGGTTGCATTTCAAGAATTTCTTCATTCATCCAGCTGATTCCTTGTGTTTTATTTAATCCCACTAGTTTATATATTTCAATCACTTCCTTCTTTTCCTGTTTATGTCTTGACACTCTTCCTAGGATAACCAGTATTTATTTATTTAATCGCTCCTCAGCCTCAGACTTGAACTCTGATCACAGTGCATATGTGTCTGGCACACCATACTCAAAGAGGTCTCCAGATGTGAATCTGGAACATTCTCCTGTGAATCAGACTTGCAGAGCTTCACATTTTTGCATAACACTGCTCTGTGTATTTTCAATGGCTAGCCATAGAGGAAAGCTTACACTTGAGGTTGCAGGGCTTTGAGAGACATGAGTCCCCCATATGACACTGGCTTAATCGATAAACTCCAATGAATTTGGCTGTGTCTGGATGTCCTCTTATTTCTCACTGAGTAGACCAACAGGGGAGGAAGGATGATTTCTCACTTTCTGTCTTTCTCTCTCTGAAAAGCACATGTGCCTTATAGCAAAAAATCTCTCCCCCTGCCAGGCAGAACTTCTTGTGGTACCAGGCAATCTTTCCAAGAGCAACTGTTGGCTTCATTGAAATAAACCTTAGTTCCTTAACTTACTGGTCATATCTTCAGATAGGACATGCCAGTCAAAGCCCTGGCTATAACCAGTGTTTCAAATTTCTGATGCAAGGCAACAAGTATTATTGAATTTATGCAACAACCATACTGTCACAAAATAAGAATGCTCACCAATATTCTTCAATTCAGATGTCTATCAAATCCAATATAATCCAATGCCATGTTTCCTTCATCACAAAACTGAAATCGCCGTGAGTCAACTGTGCCTGGTTGGCAGCCAATCACCCAGGACTGTCCCTGAGACAAGGTGCTCAGGCAGCTGCAGGACACGTTCTGAGGGTGGCCATTGGCCAAGGGTTGCTGTACCTTGGATGAGATGCCCACGCAGGACCTTAGTCCCATCTGGGTCACCAAAAAAACTGTTGCCGAACTCAAATCAGGTTCGCTTGCCCAAGTGCTATAGAACCAAGCCATAGGCCCATGGTGTGATGAAGTAAAGTACAGCTTTATAGCAAAGAATGAAGCAAGGAGAGCTGGCAGCTCATGCTGAAAAGCGCAAAAGTCTCTCTTTAAAAAAAAAATAATAATAAAGCTATATATGTAAAAATTTTAAATTGTAAGTTGTTAAAAACACTTGGGAAATAAGCAAAAACATGATTGTGAATTGTCATAAAAATTAACCAATGATGAGATTAGCAAATGGCATGATGGTTAAGGCACTGGACTCCCATGTGGAGTCAAGTCAAGGACCTGGTAGGTTGTTTTTTCACTTTCCCTCCTGCTCTCACTCTGTTTCTTGTTGGTTAAACTGAATAATAATACTAATAAGGAAAATTAAACAAGTAATTATTTAAAAATGTGTTGGCAGATGGTGTGGTGGTTAAGGGCACTGGACTCCCAGATGGCTGACCACAGTTCAAGTCTCAGACCTGGAGGATTGCTTTCTTGCATTCTCTCTCTCTCTCTCTCTGACTGGTCAAATTAAATTAAATAAATACATAACGTTTTAAAAATTATTAAAAAAAAAAACAGTAATACAAATGGTCAGCCATAGTGGTTCAAGTAGAAGGATGATGATGTACATTGGTTGAAGACACATGGCAGTGCCGGGTTGTGTCCCAGCCCAGTAAGAAAAGAGCCAGGCATGGTGGAATGTACCTGTCATCCTACCTAAACCAAAGGACTCAGGCAGAAGAATCAGAACTTAGCAGTACCCAGCCACAGTACCTATTTCTCTGTCTTTCCCTCCCTGCCTGTCTCTCATAAAGAAAATAAGTGCCCCCAAAAGGAGTGAACATTGGCTGATGAGAGGTAATGAAGACTCTTATCTCCTTCAGGAATAAGGACAAAACCAGGATAAATTGATGTATTAGGTTATCAGAAAAGTCATGATGCATTTTTGCACAGAAAAACATAAAAAAAAAAAAAAAGTCAACGCTTCTGACAACCCAAAGCTTTGAAGCCTAAAAGAGAATTCAAGAGTTTACCAAGGGAAACAGAAAAGACACTTGAGTCAAGGAGAGTCGGAGTGGGAGCACAGAACGAAGAATTAGGCACCCGGCTGGTTTCAGTTGGGACCTGAGAGGAATTCTCTGCTTTGGAAGATAATTAGCCAGAGATACGCAGCAGTCCCAATGTCCACTGTGGATACCTGGAATCCTAGACACAGGAAATGCCCACAGTCCTCACACTCCATAAGCCCAGTGTAGACAACAACCTAGAGTCCATATAGGCGGATAGATACCTGCACCAGAGAACCCATGCTGCATCGCCCATTCCCTGAGATACAAGCTCATGGAGTCGAGTCCCACTGGCGTACAGAGCCACAACCCAGGTGCATCCTGTCCTGGGGGTCCAGCAGTCTCGACATCTCCACATCCCCAAGGCCCCACTGTTATGCTAGTACACCCATGCAAAGACAGCCCCGCTGGTATCCCAGCTGAACCCAGTGCCATAAATACTATGTGTAACCCCAGCCCATAAGGCACCACGTACTCCAAGAAGTAGACTGCCAAGTTCACTATTGATTCTACTCTCAACTGGGTGAATCAATCTGTATGTCTCCCTGCAACTCAAGACCTTCTCTTCTCTGCTGACTCAACCATCTGAACTCGGAAGTTATCCAGGCACTATGCCTCCCCACCCAGGGCCTGATGAGGCCAGCTCATTGCCTCCCCACTTTCTGGTGCCAATTCTCAAAGAGTCAGAACTCTCCACACCAACTGTGGTCAACCCAAGGGCCTCATCTTCCCTGCCTGTTCAACACAAAAGTGGCCATAGCTGGTAACCCAGCACCAGCAGGTGGAGTCCACGTTCAACACCAATTCAACAGAGTGCTACAAGTATTCCACTGAAACTAGGCAGGGAAAAAAACTTTAGGCCACACAAACTGGAAAACAGGAAGTCACGCTATGTGTGTAGACGATGACATAATTTTAACATGGAAAAAAAAAGATTTCTCACTAAAGCTTATATAACTGGAGCCATCTGGTATTGTG